TGCATTATATAGATAGCACTACCATAAACATTTGGTGAAAATTTCAAGTATTTACAGTGATTAGTTTTTGAATTACAACCATATAAAAAAATCAATTTGGTCGAACTGATTTTGCGTGAAAATTCCCGTCATTTTTTTTTTGTTTTTCTCGATTTTTTTGAAAAATGTTGGAAAATGTTTACTTTTGACCTTTATAATGCACCAAAGATCTTCACTTTTACATCGGAAACCACCCCCAAAGTTTGAAATCGAAGCATTATTTCGAATAGTTATGCTGTACACACACACACAAAAAAAAAAAAACACACGTCATTGTAAAATCAATACATTCATCACTTCGTTCAGAATCTAAAATATCAAAAAAAAATGTAGAAAAAATAACATTAATGAAAACCAGTCAGTCGTGTCGTATAAGCTGACGGAGTACAATATCATATTCATTATATTATACACATGAAATACGTCGACGTGTATTTGTGGCTCAACAGTCAACAGTAGCTGCTGTGCGGGCCATCGTAATAATAATAGGTACATATTATATTATGTGTCACGTCACATCGATAGCATTATTATCCTTTTTTTTTTTGCTGGTCACTTAGTTTATTTGGTTAGTTTAATATAATATAAACTGCATTATTGAAATATTTAAAAAAAAGGTGATCGCACGCGCATCGATTAGTTTCGTTGTTATGGTCTCACGATCTTAGATCCGTCCATTAATTGTATCGTATTGAGAGTTTAGAGAAAAAACTAAAAAGGAAGAAAATAGTTATCTATAATCTGTATTATTATGATAATTTTATGCACAATAAACAAAAACTAGTCTTGAAGCATTTTTGTTGTGTGATTCAACACATTTTCCAAACATTAATAAATTATTAAAATTTTATGCACATTATACGTTTCGACAACGACTCCCCGAGAGAATGTTTTCAACACTCACACGAAAAAAATTATATTTAAAGAAATAAAAATGACTTAGTATTTTTTTGATAAACAATTTATCATCATTTAAATTTTAGATACTATATTATTTATGTATAATATATGTCTGTTATTCTGAGCCGACGTTAACGAAATTATTGCCAAGAAACCCGTAACATCAACTTTTATTATTATTTTTTATCAATATTGAATTTATTTCATAGATTTGTTAGTAATATTTGATCAGGATTGGTTAAAAAAAAGCGCTTCT